CCCCCCCCGGTGCTGGCGGCGGCAGCGGGGCCGGTGGTCTGCGCGGGAGGGCCGGCCCGCCGGTGTGAACTGTGGGCGCGGGCGACGGTGGCACCCGCGGGTCCTGCGCGGCTGCCGGTCGCGCTGCGAGTGAGCGCTGAAGGGCTGGGCTGGGCTGGGCTGAACTACCCGAGCTCACGGCAGAGGCACCGGAGTGCTCCTCTGCTGCTGGGAAGGAGCGGAGGCAACAGTTTGAGTTCCCAGCTGTCAGCTTGGGCCTGGCTCTGCCAGGACGCGTGTGAGCAGCCTGGGTGGCTTCAGCGGGGCTACTGAAGAGCACGAGTCAAGCATCTGCTTAACTGTGCAGGATCAGAGTCTTGGCACCTGAACGAGCGTTCAAAGTGCTTTTGTGTAACTTGCTTCATCTTCCTCTACGAGATTAGATCTCGGGAGTGTCCTCGCTCTCCTGTGTTCTGCCTTTTCTCCCTGTGCATCCCTCCTCAGCCTTTTGTTTATGGCAGCTCAGCCAGGTCACATTCCTCTGGTGTGCTCGGAGCCAGGGAGCTGCTTGGTTTGGTTGGTTTTTTTTCTTTTTACGTGAGGGCGTCAATTGTTTTATTGAAGATAAGACTCATCTCTAGCTTCTTTAATTCTATCAAATGTGATCAGACTAGTCTGTCAGGACTTTATCAATCCCCAGTGCTTCCTACACAAGGTTTCACAACCTTCTGGGGTGTTTAATGACTTTTCTTTTAATGTGGTGCTTCTCTGCAGAAGGAAGCTGAAATGTAGAGCAGTAAATGGAAGACTCTTTTGCCCACCTACCCCTCTTGACCACTTCTCTAAAGTTTGGTGCACTTGTATCTATCCAGTTTTCTTTGCAATCTCAAGAACTTGTTCAACTTGGCTGTCGTACAGACATAACACCTTCTTAAGACTAAAATGTGCACTGAACTGTCATGTGCTTTCACTTCAAGGTCTATGGCTCACATGAATGTTTGGAAATGGCCCCGAGCCTTTCTGTCTCTTGCATCCAGGGATTACAAATAATGTTCTTAAGTGCTTCCACGCTGCAGACCTGAGACCTCTCACAAGGAGCACAGCCTCACATCAGCTGCTTCTGTCTTGCAACCGTGTTGCACGTCAAGGGGAAAAGGCCATCCAGAAGAACCTGCTGTTGCAGAGCACCATGGTGTCACAAACTGTCTCTGTCCCTTTCAGAAGACAACCAGGAAGCCTGTGAATATGGAGTGGGAGGAATCTCACCACCTAGCCAGATTTAATGTATGATGAGAGGCCAGATGGGGAAACAAATGTGTGGTTGACACTGTCCCCCAGCTCCATTTCTTGAAGGTGTGTGTAGTTTCAAATGCCTTGGCAAGCTGAGATACAGATCTTTATTTCTCTTCTCAATTGTTATGGACCGCTATTTTCTTTAGCACCCTGGCTGTGACCTATGGACTGCCAACTTCCTGCTGGCTCACAGATTCCTGCCTTGCTTCTAGAGCTTCCTCCATAGAACTCCAATGAGCCAGGAAGGATGTTGAAGATGGGCCCAAGGCCCCAAAAGTTTGGAACTGGCCTGGGATTTGGGGATGAATTAGGACATCAATCTTTGTCCAAAACAGATGATGATGGGCAGAGCATTTCTGATGCCACTTTGTGGAACCAGTAGCACCTAGATTGGTGCAAAGTATGAGTTATTCTGATGCTGACCTGATCGCTGCTGTGGTTGTTCCCTTTGGTCTTTTGGGGATCTGGGTTTTCTTCACTCTCAGTGTTTCTTGTGGGCTGCCATGAAGATGTTGAAACAACAATGCTAGAAAGGTATGCTGTTTTGGGCAGACCATCTGTCTAGATCTGTACATCTACAGGGCTGTAGGCTGCCTGAGGAGGGATATATTTGAAGGAGAGGTTTTTTTCTTGCTCATTGTTTTCTATACTAAAATACTAATACTAGTATTAGTATACTGTAATACTAATATTAGCATACCATAATACTAATATTAGTATTGTAGTGTTAGTGTTATTTACCCAGGTGACTTTGTAAAGCAGAAGTCTGTGATAAACTAGAGCACAGAAGCCCACCAAGAATTGGGTTGGATGTGATTGATGGTTAGACTTCCCTGCTTCAACATATGCTTTATTAACTGTACTTTATACAGCTTTGTATCTCGTAGATTTTTACTAGGGGTTCCCCTGGGCAGCTCCTGCTTGTAGTGCAACATCTTCCTGCAGTGGCAGAATTGCTCTTGGAGCTGCATACCTGACTGCTTGCATGGAGTTTTGGCTTCCATAAATTAGCCACAGCTGAGTTAGCTGCCATCAACTTGATGGTAGAAGATGGCCCTGTTTTTTGTGGAACATGCTTAACAGATGAGGCAAACTTTGGTTTCTTATTCCAGGAAGAGTTTTTAGCATTCAAGTGAAGATGCCTTTTCTGTTTGGTTTCAAATGAATTGTGCTGCTTTGTTAACTCTTGAGATGTTTGCAATGAAAACACTTCTTACTGTGAGCAAGTGCTTGATAAGCACTAGGATGTAGTAGAGGAAATAATTCAGCCCCATGGATATGTGTTTCCTAGTCCTTGGCAGGAACTAGGCAATACAAAGTACTGGAGGAGAGGGAGAGATGCAGAGGATGGGAACCTTGCAAGGGGGTCTGTTCACAGCCTTTTTTTCATGGGCTTCTCTGCTTAGACTGCTGGCTGCCAAGAATTTTTAGTACTTCAACCTAGTAAAAGGCACCTGAATTAAAGAAACATCTATCTTTAGAGCTGTAGCTGTTCAGTTACTTCATTCAAGTTAAATTGATGTAATCTTCCACTGATGTCAAAATCATACCCTGTCAAACATGTTGAATAGGGCAAAATCAAGGGACAGATTTTCAGCCCAGTAAGAGGTTTCTCAGGAGAGTTTGAGGGATGTTTTTTCTCTGCTCCCTTTCTGCTGCGTCCCATTTCGATTTCAGTGTTTTGCTGTGCCTCTGAAAGCAAACTCCCAGCAGCTGATGGTGGCCAGACATGCAGTGCAGGCAGGGATGCTGCTGCCTGCAGTGGCAGCCATGTGAGGGCTTCTACCTGCCCACCCCTCCTGCAGCAGGCTCTGGTCCTGGCTCTTACTGAGATGCCTGCTCTGCCCTATGTTCTGCAGTGGTGAAACTTCAAGCCTCCGTGGCATGGGCTTTTTTAATGGTTTTCTTGAATGCTGACTTCTGACTGTTAGTATTAATTGTGGTGTTAGAGGGATTGCTCTGTGTAAATAGGCCAGTTTTCATGACCTTACTGAGTGCTTCTCGTGACAACAGGGAAGGGTATGCTCTCCATTTACAAGCCACCTTCTTTCAGTGGCAGTGCTGATTTAGCCCCTAGCCCAGGACTTCAGACCACAAAACAAACAAGGAGGTGGTTCTGTCTGCTCAGCTCTCAGATTGGGTGTGGGATCTGTCACATATACTTGGATTTTGCACCTCTGTTGAGGTGCAGGCTGTGAATTCACCTCCCCACAGAATCCTGTTCTAGTGCCCAACTGTTTGGAGGTTTCTTGAAACCCATTTGCCTGCAGCCCGGCAGCGGGTGCAGGCAGCTGAGCTCCTGTAGACAGAGGGCTGGGCTGCAGCCAGTGCCCCATGCTGTGGATGGCGCTGCGCTGCCTACAGCTCCTGCCCTTGCTGGAGGATCCTGCTGCAAAGCTCGTAGGGCAGCTGTACCTTCATGTTCAGTGTTGGTAAGAGGAAAAGTGAGGAGGTGAGCAGGTGAATTTTGAGCTTTCCCTCATCTAGCCCTTATTTATATTTAGATCTTC